GTCTATAGGTGAATCTCGAAAAAAGGTTTTTGAAGTAAAGTCATACCCATAAGTAGGAACGTTGTTCTCTGAGTATCCAGAAAGTTATGTACGACTACTAAAAACCTCTTTTTTTTTACTCTTTCACCACACAAAACTTCATTTTAGCTTTGAGGGGTTTCAACGTTTCTTATCCGAGTGCTTTGTTTACAAATATAAAAGATCGCTTCAAAGATCAGAGGATGTACTCAGTGACGGTCAATCCCACTATTCGTTGGTAAAAGAGTAGCTCAAGAGTTGGTGGTGGGCTGTGATGACCTTCCCTCTAGTCTCACACTACTAAATTAGGGACGGCTAGCGCAGGTAGCCCCTGTGTAGCTTTGTTCGAAATTCACAACAAAAATTTCCAAGTTTTTTTTTTAGTTAAAGAAGCATAATAACGATTTTGAAATTTTGAAAAAAAACATGTTTAAAATCTCCAACAGTATTTAACATACAGGGTGTCTCAGAAATATAGACCCATAGAGAAAATAGACATTATATTCTTAAAGTCAGCTGTACATATTTCAGGATAGAAAATACCCTGATGGCACAGTATACCAAGAATTAATACGTGTGGGGCTGTTAATGGCATGCAATTTGAATAATAAATAAATAAATTAAAAATACATTGTGTAGTTCTCCCTATGGGTCCACACTTCTGGGACACCCTGTATATATATATGTATACTTTTAATTACATTTACAAAGTTCAGCAAATTTAGTTCTTAAATGAAAAACAAACTCTCTCTTCTAGTTGCAATCCACTTGGACCTCGTTTTCGTGTAAGGATTATTGAATGCAGATGGGAAAATATTATTAGATTTCATAACGAAAATCATAATTATTAGAGTTTTAGCAAATGTTAAGAAGTAACAACGAATTGGTCTGTTCTCTCTTAACACACGTGGGAAGAAAGAGATGCTCGTTCTAAGAAACTGAAACAGCCTTTAAAGCTGTAATCTGTTGTTACCAGCAGCCTGCTATACATCACCAGCACGTGAAAGCTGTGATTAAGCTTCTCGAAGGATATCCATAAACTACTTGTCCTGTACATTGCAGGAACGGAATATAATGACTTTAACTCACCAGGGGCACGAATGACGTCGCGGTAACTTACTAATTACATACACCAAGTCAATTCGAACGTTGAGGACTGTATCTTACTCAGCATGCGCATGTGTAATTTTTATTACTTTTACACTCAAAATGTTGATATATTTGGACTAGTTTTATTGAAAATTTCCACTGACCTTCATAAACGAACGAAAGTCATATACAATTGCACGAAATAATATGCAGGAGCTTAGACTCGTGTATGGAGTTTAGGGTCATGCTTCGAGTTTAGATTCAAGTTTAAAGTTTAGAGTCATGTTTGGAGTTTAATCGTGTTTGTATTTTAGACTCATGCTTGGAGTTTAGACTCAAGTTTAAACTTTAGTCATTTTTGAAGTTTAATCGTGTTTATATTTTAGACTCATACTTTGAGTTTAGAGTCATGCTTAGAGTTTAGAGTCATGTTTGGAGTTTAATCGTGTTTGTGTTTTAGACTCATACTTTGAGTTTAGAGTCATGCTTAAAGTTTAGAGTCATGCTTGTAGTTTAGACTCATATTTGGAGTTTAGAGTCATGCTTAGAGTTTACAGTCATGCTTGTAGTTTAGACTCATATTTGGAGTTTAGAGTCATGCTTAGAGTTTACAGTCATGCTTGTAGTTTAGACTCATATTTGGAGTTTAGAGTCATGCTTAGAGTTTAGACTCATATTTGATGTTTAGACTCATACTTGGAGTTTAGACTCACGAAAGTTTAGCAAAATAACTAGGCTAGTGGAGTGCGATGGGAAGGGAACAAATAATTTTTGAAAGGGCCATCACATCTTTTGCCCCACCCAATTAAAAAACAATGTTTCAGATCGAGAAAGGTCGATCAGATTGTGTCTCTGAGATTACTAAAATCTATAATTTTTGTAATATTTCTTACTTCCTCACTAGCAAAATTCTGTATTTTCGAATTTCCATACCAAGCTTTAGCACTTATTTATCTTTAGTGACAGTTTAACATATCCTTGTTGATAGTTTAATAAGTGTTTATTAGATAGTTATAATTGTGAAGTAATAACCTTCGACCTTTGTCTTGTGTAATATGAAATGTCTATTTTATTACACTACATATTCTATAACTTCATTCTGCTACAAATGCCTGATAATCGTCACATTATTGGTATTACATTAGATATTCTGTAACTTCATTTTGCTACAAATGCCTGATAATCGTCACATTATTGGTATTACATTAGATATTCTATAACTTCATTCTGCTACAAATGTCTGATAATCGTCACATTATTGAATAATTATTTTTGTTTATCACGACAAATTTGCTAATCCAGAAAAAAAAATATTCAGTTTTCCACTAAATAAAACAGTAAACGAGAACGTTCGCTCACGGCTTGTAAAAAACCCCCATCTAACGGTGTTAATATAAGTTATATATATTTATTTAGCATTAATGGATTGCGGATAGTGTATTTTTAATGTGGCAAATTAATTGTTGCCTACTTTTTATTTAAAAAATGGAATATTTTAGCATGTATTAGAAGAACGAGCAATTTGAAACTTTTGGATTAATTTGATAATTATTTTCCTGTTTTATTAACTAAAAGCTAAATTTTATTATGTAGAGGTAGCTATAAGCGAAAAGCCTTAGAAAACTGCATGTATATATACCAGAAAATTTTATACTTTTGTATTCTATCTCACAAGTAAGCGTAGCAACATTCCGTCCAAAATACAATAAAATAAACATACTTATGTCGAACTTGTATTTTGATGAAATAATTTGTAATATAAATACGAAATTGATAGAGATGTAATATATAAGCATAACGTGTGTTTTATACCTCCGTGTATGGATATAAACAATTTTCAACATTTTTTGTTTGTGCAGCTATGTGCTGTTTACACATAACAAATTGGTTAAGAAGGTTGTTAAGTTGTTTTCGTTCTAGCTACCTATTGTTCTGTGTCATTCACCTAGAGTATCTTCTTTGTCTTCCCGTGGTAAAGATAGCTTCAAGTTCATTCGCGGTATGTGAAGTTATAGAGTTATAGTTTATACTGGCAGTCAAGTCATCTTTTATGTTTCATTGGGAATAGCCAGGCACGTAGATACTGCTGGTCGCTCTGAGTAAGTCTGACGTTAACAAGTTAAGTAAGTAAGGTGAGATTTATTCAGTCTGAAACAGGAGCTGAACCGAGTTAGACTTGCTTCCAACCAGGTCTAAGTTAGATCATCACCACACCTAACACTCCAGTGTCCGATGTCCCAAGTAAAGTACATGTTTTCACTGTATTTATTTTTAACAAAGACTTTATAATGATTGTACATTTGTGTTCAGTCTCTCTTTATTCCTCGCGAACTCAGTTAGTCAGAGAATGAAAAATTATTTTGCAGTAAATATCTTGGCGAATCTCCAGTTATTAAGCGGATCTTTCTTGCTACTGTTAGTGGAAATCAGCGCTGTCTGAAAATACTAAAAACATAATTCAGTTACCTAATTATGTTACTGTTAAACATGGAATTAATAGAGATAGCTTTAGGTAACAGTAACCTAATAATGTTACTGTTAAACATGGAATTAATAGAGAAGGTTTGGAATAGTAATCGAACTATGTTATTTTTATGAAACGTTATAAAGGAAATATAACCGGTACTTTAAATATTTCTTCTGATCCTGTGATTGCCAATTTCATATAGGTTTCGGAACTTTAGACACGTCCTTTCTTGAAAGTCCGTTACTTAAATAAGCGAAACGACCATTATTAACAACGATTTCCAAAGCACATGGTTTTTAACCAGCCAAGACAAGCTTAATAAATTAAATGTTATTTCAGTTCACTAAACTTAAGTGTAGTTTCGTTATAAATATTTAACTTCTTACGATAATAGTTTCATCGATAAGCAATGATTTTTTTTTACATACAAATTAAGTAGTTTTCAAAACTGTATTCAAGCTAGAAGTATTTTGGGGGAATCATCATGCCTTATACAATAACATGCCGAGCATACGTACATTACAAAGGCATTCAACACCTGCAAATATACTCCCTCCTATCTTGTCAACGTACAGGCATTAATGGATATGGCCATATTTGCTACAATGCCTTTGAGACCTATTTTAAATCGCATTTTTTCTCAATTTACATTAATCTTGGCTTTTGCTGGACTACAAACTACCCAAGTTTACCATTTCCCAATTATGTTATACAGACGTAAGTTTAAAATCACCCAGATTTACCACATCACCGGATTTGATAATGTGGTAAACCTGGGAAATTTTTAGTGTATGTTTGAGGATTATATTCGGTAATGTGGTAAACCTGGGTGATCTTTAGTGTATGTTTGAGGATTATATTTGATAATGTGGTAAACCTGGGAAATTTTTAGTGTATGTTTGAGGATTATATTCGGTAATGTGGTAAACCTGGGTGATCTTTAGTGTATGTTTGAGGATTATATTTGATAATGTGGTAAACCTGGGAAATTTTTAGTGTATATTTGAGGATTATACTCGGTAATGTGGTAAACCTGGGTGATCTTTAGTGTATGTTTGAGGATTATATTTGATAATGTGGTAAACCTGGGAAATTTTTAGTGTATGTTTGAGGATTATATTCGGTAATGTGGTAAACCTGGGTGATCTTTAGTGTATGTTTGAGGATTATATTTGTAATCGTAAAAAGTACCCTAAAGATCACCCAGGTTTACCACATTACCGAATATAATCGTCAAAAGTACAGGTTTACCACATTATCAAATATAATAATAAAAAGTACCCTAAAGATCACCCAGGTTTACCACATTATCAAATATAATCGTCAAAAGTACCCTAAAGATCACCCAGGTTTACCACATTATCAAATATAATCGTCAAAAGTACCCTAAAGATCACCCAAGTTTACCACATTATCAAATATAATCGTAAAAAGTACCCTAAAGATCACCCAGGTTTACCACATTATCAAATATAATCGTAAAAAGTACCCTAAAGATCACCCAGGTTTACCACATTATCAAATATAATCGTCAAAAGTACCCTAAAGATCACCCAGGTTTACCACATTATCAAATATAATCCTCAAACATACACTAAAAGTTACCCAGGTTTACACACATCACTACTGTATTTTTATTTTTCAAACAACAGAATTTTGATGAACCAAAAAAAATGAAAGAAAAAAGGCTATAAATTATTAAACATCACAGACTTGAATAAAAGTAACATAATGACCATAGTAGATGATATCTGTTCGTTTCTGTGCGACTAACAGATGTTGGTAGAATATCTATAGAAAACGTAAATAAAACATGTGTGACAGACGAAAAAAAAACGATCCTGTTAAAATACTCTCCGAGAACTGTAACAGACGTTTTTCTCTTACGGTAACCACGAATCTTGTTTGAAGCAGTGAACGAGGTCAGTCTTTACCCATAGGAAGGCTTAACTCATCTGATGCCAACTGAAAAAATATGATTTGTTTTCTTTCCCGACTGCCCCTTGCTTTTTCTTTCTTTCTATCTTACAATCAACAACTGTTGTTTATTGTTTGCTATTCATTCTGCCGTGCAATTCATCATTTTTTATAATAAAAACGTCGACAGATTGAAATAAAATGCCTTTTTCTCCAGTACTTTTGTATCCAATATTAGGCTAAATATTGAAAGATAAGATTAAAAAATAAAAAGATATACCTCACGCTCGTCCCAGTGTGTACAAGGGTTATTGAATGTGCAAAATGTATAAACACTACAATAAAAAAACCTTTTCGTCTGTATTGACAACAATAACCTGATAACTTAATGCAACAAAATAAAATGTTTTTGTTTTTTTCTCTCTTTTGATTAGGAACAGTCTTTCAAGGATAGGTCTGATCGTTCCAACCAACTTTTTCCATCTTCTTGCCATTTCGTTTCAGTAATCCAGCATCAAGTTGAATTTGGTATCTGTTTATTTACATATAACCTTGTTAATCATTCGTCATTATTTTCCGTGAAGTGACAAAATTATCATAGAAGTCTGATTAACAGACTACGTAATTTGTGCTATTATGCTGTGTTCTATCGTTTGGTAGGTGTTTTTAGATTATTTAGTCAAGATAATGACATTTCCAGTCCACATAGTAATAATGAATGAATTTTTTTTTTTCAATAACGTTTGCTACAGGCTACGTTCGCTTGTAGGCCTAACTCCACGAACAACTTTCAACAGAAAGTCTGAAACTAATCTACACTTAACTCATAGATTAACTGATTTACATAATTTCCTCGTTAACCAGATGATAATAAACACGCTAGTTAATTCACTGTTTAGCTTGCTAACTGAATTACAGCCCGGCATGGCCAGGTGGTTAGGGCACTCGACTCGCAATCTGAAGGTCGCGGGTTCGAATACCCGTTACACCAAACATGCTAGCCCTTTCAGCCGTGGGGGCGTTATAATGTGACGGTCAATCCCACTATTCGTTGGTAAAAGAGTAGCCCAAGAGTTAGCGGTGGGTGGTGATGACTAGCTGCCTTCCCTCTAGTCTTATACTGCTAAATTAGGAACGGCTAGCGCAGATAGCCCTCGTGTAGCTTTGCGCGAAATTAAAAAAAACAAAAAAAAACTGAATTACAGAACTTAATAACTCATTGACTGGCACTGAACTGATTTACTCTTTAATTACTCATTTAATTAATTGACTCTGATATTTATATTGTACTTTTATTTCTACACAGTAGAGAAAGCTTCTAGATTACGACGTAAAGACTAGCTCCCTCTAGCACACAAACATTTAAATTAAGACACTAAAAATAAAAATTACAACAATACATTTCAAGTATCTTCACCTAATATTTTATATTTCATTTTCGTCTCACTCTGTCTAGCTAAGAAAAATTCTCCCTCTGCAACACAGTTGTTGTTTGCATTGCAGACTAATTTTTAATTAGAGCTTGAATAACTTTGACGTTTTGCCAGAGTTGACGCGTTAAATACATTCATAGATAGTGTATAGTAGGCTACAGCGTGGTGAAGTTAAATCTAGTGTTTAACTTACAAGATGACATCATGTTCATGTATTTACGGATGTTAAGATCATTTGAACAGTAAAGTAGAAATAAAGTTTCTTCACATATCAACGAAATCAGCATGGGATAATCTGGTGGTTAGGACAGTCGACTCTCAATATGCGGGTCATGGGTTTGTCATCGTATATTTTCGCCTTTTCAGTCATGGGGGGGCATCATGATGTTACATTTAATCGCACTATTTGCTGTTAAAAGACTAGCCCAAGATTTGGCGGCGAGTGGTTTTAACTAGCTGTCTTGCTTCTGGTCTATACCTTTTAGATTAGGGACGGCTAGCGCAGATAGCCCATGAATAACTTTGCGCGAAATTCAACAATCAGTTATTTGGCGTTTTATTTTCACATTTCAGCGAGTGCCATCACCTGGTGTTGAGAAACATATCCTTGATTTAAAACCATACAAGTAACATTGTACAGTTTTATAGGAGAACACGTAAGTTCCTGTAAAGAAAAAAAAGTGTCATAAAAGAAAAGGAGATTTAGGATTGAATTTCTTTCTAGCCCTCAACTTGGTTACCCAACAATTTTTGTATAAAATAAAATAAAATAATAAGTTTTTGTTGTTCGGAAACACACAGTCGCTCACACCATTTTGCATGAAGTTAAATAATAAAAGCAAATGTTTTGAGAACAAGGGCACATTCTTTCATTTCTATAGCAATCAGAGTATATTTTTATTGGAAACTGTAAAAAAGTAATTTGCTCAGTATACAATATTTGTCTGTTCTAAGCTTCTTCCTCTTGCCAACAGCTGTCCATTGCAGAATGGGAGTAGGCAGAAAACTTGTCTTTTTATGACAGGTAAATCATGTTGCAAGAGAAGTAACCGAATGGGATCTGTAAGGGTATACGACGCCTAGTGAGCAAAGAGAAAAATAAAGGTCGAGGCTGTTCGTGATGAGACGTAGGAGTGAGACACGACAGCCTAGTAATACCTTCAAAGATAACGGGGTTTGAAGAAAGATCTTTTATTTTATGTTTGAAAAGAAGAGACTACTCTCTAAAAGGTTGGTGGGTTTGAATAAAATAAGTTTATAACAAGTACTTCTCTGTGCTTTAACTTCGAAGCAATCTCCATAATAACATCCTAACTAATGAAATAGCGACGAGGAATAAATTAGAAAAACTTGTCATGAATCTAAAATAACCTATAATGAATACCAAGGGCAGAGCTGTACGACTGAGCTACCCAAGAGCACAAGCCGTCCTCGCTAATGTTCACTTATAAAGCCTCTCGCTGTGACTATGGCCAACCATACTACGTTATTTTGTTATTTACTGATCGTAACAATTCAACGTCGTATGGTGATTATACTCTCAGTAAGAGGCTTTATAAGCATAATGAATAAATTACAAAAACAATATTCTGCATTCATATAAAGTGTGTACTTATTTTACTTTTAGCTCAACTAACCAATGAAACATTATTCTGCATTCATATAAAGTGTGTACTTATTTTACTTTTAGCTCAACTAACCAATGAAACATTATTCTGCATTCATATAAAGTGTGTACTTATTTTACTTTTAGCTCAACTAACCAATGAAACAATATTCTGCATTCATATAAAGTGTGTACTTATTTACTTTAGCTCAACTAACCAATGAAACATTATTTCACATTAGTCGTTGTTTTTCAAACTGGGAGTACAGACAAGGTGAGTCACAAAACACGTCATTCAAACTGACGTAGACTTTCTGGTGACTCTGACGAATACACACAAAGATTTGGATGATAACAAATAACTATTTCAATTAAATCAGTTTTTTTTTTCCTCTCAGTTCTGGACCTTGTATCTTTTTTTTCTTCAGTTTTCAGTCCCACCAAAAATTTCAGTTCTAAAAGATGACAGAAACTGTTTAAAAAACACAAACATACTTATGAACGGTAAGATCTCTAGATAAGACCCCTATTCCGGCCATTTGCGTGGACGCCAGTTATGGAGTTGCTATGACCTTGACCACACGAGAGTTCCTCGCTAAGCCTGAAAATAGGTCAAACCTATAAAGTTTTACTCCATTCACCTTAGCCTAAACGTGAAAGGGAATTTTAGAAGAAATATAAGTTATATTTTGATGTTTTTAGTAGAAGTTGCTGACAGTTTTTGATTTGTACGTACCTGCAATGATGGCAGATTTTAGAAGATATATTTTATTTATTTTGCCTTCTTCAGGGATCGTGGATTGGTCCTGTGGTATAGCTCCGATACCACAAATTATCCCGCATTTTCAGTTGTAGGTGCGTTATAAATGCCCCCCAGTGGCACAGCGGTATGTCTGCGGACTTACAACGCTAGAAACCGGGTTTCGATACCCGTGGTGGGCAGAGCACAGATAGCCCATTGTGTAGCATTGTGTATAATTACAAACAAACAAGCGTTATAAAAGTAACAATCAATTCCTCAGTGTGAATGGTGGTTTGTAGGGTGCTGCAGACTGACTGCTTTCCCTCTAGTTAGTAGCTCAAAATTAGGGACAATGGCAGATAGCCTTAGTAGTTTTGTCATATATTCAAAATACAAATGGACGATTTGGGATCATACAGATCACGTACATCACCAACAAGACTTCTCTTGGCTACCTCGATATCTGAAAGAAACTGATCCCAATATTACCATTGGGTTCACCGATTAAGCCGAGCTAATACAGTAAAACAGGAATATATATATATTTGTATTGGTATTTGGGTAACGTTTATTTGCGCTAATTCAGAGCCTTATATAATGAATTACTGCCCGAAATAGTTCAGAACAAACCAACAGCTCACACGATAACGTAAACAGAGTGACTTTTATTATTTTGTATTATGT